TCCTGCTGAGATTCAGTGAAAGCAGCAAAGAAGGAGGAGTCACCTTCACCTGGGTGGAGAAGGACATCAGCGGTAAGCTCGGCTTTTCCCCACCCCACCTGGTGGTGAGCACCGCTGCCGCCGTTGCCTCTGCTGGTTTCAGACACCTGCTGCCCCCTCGTGGGCAGAGATGGCCTCGCACCCCCCCGTCTCAGACTTGTAAGGCACATTTGGGTGACTTCTTTTCTCTAAATTCTACCAGCTGGAGGATTGGTTTGCCGGTTTTGTTTTGCTGGCTCCAGGGACTAATATTTGCCCATTTAAATTTCATTCTTCATCTCCTTTCTTCCCTACCCTGTTAATATATCTTATGTAAATAGTTATCCAAGTGTATTACCTGTGGCCCAGCTGGATAGCCTCTCCCGAAGCCAGCTGAACATTTCCCCAGTGCCAGGCGACTGGGCAGGATATTCAGGGTATCGAGCGCTGGGTTGGCATAAGCCTTTACCCCTTGAGGGAAAATAAATCAGGTAGTTTTCTCTGAGATCACCTGAGTCTTCCCTTCCCATTTCCCCTGACAGGTAAGACCCAGATCCAGTCGGTGGAACCGTACACCAAGCAGCAGCTGAACAACATGTCGTTTGCTGAAATCATCATGGGCTATAAGATCATGGATGCCACCAATATCCTCGTGTCTCCGCTGGTCTACCTCTACCCTGACATTCCAAAGGAGGAGGCGTTCGGAAAGTACTGTCGGCCAGAGAGCCAGGAGCATCCCGAAGCTGACCCAGGTAGTTGTTGATTTTCCACGACAGCCATTTAGTTCTGGGGAAAAGTGGGAAATTGTAGGATCCTGGGAGGACAGATAAGGTAAATGCCTGAAGAACCTCTTTCTGGGAAAGAACTTTGTAGTGAGTGCCTTTGGGGGTGGCTGATGGGGTTAGAGAGAGGAGAGGAATCAGTCACCAGGCTCTGCCCTACAAGAAGCACTAGTCTCAAGGGGGAAGCAGCATGCACACACCCAGCCATACCTGAAACACCGTGGAGAGAAAGCGAGGGCAGAATTCTCTAGAAACAGGATGCCCAGCCAGCACAGCACTTCTTACAAAGCAGATGTTGGAAGGTTTGCGATTCAGACTTCAGTCTAGCATGTTTCCTTTTCCCCATCACGGAACAATGTGAGCAGCGCCAAGAGGGATGAAGAAAGGCTTTTTCTGGAGGAAATGAGTGTTAGCAGCGCTGGAACATGCTTTAAGAGCACAGGAGTGGTGACTGAAGGGGAACACAGCAACTGGTGGGAGGGGCGTGGAACTGGTCCTTTGAATGTGCAGCTCTTGAAAATAAGATGTTTTTTAATGTGCAAGAGCCCAGGTGCTTATGTAAGTTGCACATACGTTTTCCACACTAAACCCTCGCTCTCTAGCACCACCGCCAGCGTGGAGGGCAGAGCCCCCTAGTCTGTTCCCATGGGCGTCTGGGGCTCGGACACTGGGTTCTGTGTCCAGATCCTGATGAGAACACTATAATTTGCTGTTCTTTGTTTTTATTTAAGTTTTCTTAATCACAGAGCCAGTAGTGGTTTAAAGGGATCCTTTGAGGTTGGCTTCCCTGCCCCAGTTGCTTTGGAAAAAACTGTTTTTGTGCAAAGAGCTCTCTCACACACAAACACAAACCCACCAGCTTCCTTCCCACTTTTTCACAGGAGTTCCCTGTGAGGGATCTCTTGGGGTGAGAAGAACGAGACTTGGAAGAGGGAGTTGGGGCTAATTGGCAATTGACTTTCCTTTTTCCTTTGTTCTGGGGTTGAGTCTTGGCCACACTCCAGGCGAGCGTAACTCTCACTTCCTGTCTGCCCCTTATCTCTCCTCTCACGTTGTGCTTCGGTTGGGAGATGTGTTTATCAGCCCCCATCACACTACCCTGTTCCTTCTGCAGAAGGCATTTAGGTCCAAGTGCTGGGCCCTTGACTAATTTTGCTTTCAAGGTCCAAGTTCCAAGTCTGAGGCTGCGCCCTCCCTCAAGCCTCCTGTGTGACTGGGAGGCAAGGCCCTTTCCTGCCTGGAGACCTCAGTGTTTCCTCAGGGGCAAGATGGCAGTCACAGGAAGGGAACTAATTACTTGAGTGCTTGTCTGCCTCCTGGGGCTGGGTGTGAGCCTGGCAAATGGGTCAGCAGGTGTGGGGTGCCGGCAGGCTGCATGTGGGGTCCTCCAGAGTTGAGCAGCTGACCATTTCCTCACCGTTCCCATCCTGAAGGTTGTTTCTTTTTTTAAGTATGAGCCCATTTTTAGAGAGCTCGTTAGTTGCTCCATGGCATGTGGGATCTTCCCAGACTAGGGCTCAAACCCGTGTCCCCTTCATTGGCAGGCGGAGGTCCCTCATCCTGAGGGTTTTATTGTCTCTAGGAGATAAATCTGTCTCCTAGATTATCTTCCCAGGACTCTTCCCTCCTTCTTACTCAGAAGCTCACACGGTATTTCCTCATGGCTTGAGGGAGACATTCCTCTGTAGAAATGACAAATTCCTTATCTTACAAATTAGATAAGTACATTTACAACCTTGTACGGAGCCACGAATCAGCTTTTAGTCTTAGTTCTCCTTTGCTTCTACTGTGGCATCTCAGGCCGAAGGTGTTTTTCTCAGCAACGTTGGTCAGTTAGGGAATTAAACCCTTTTCTGCCTGGGGTGTCAGCTCCCCTCAGGCCTGGGCCAAAATGGATTCATAAGACTCCAGAACCCTGCTTTGATAGCTTCTTTGGATTCGGTACTGAGTTAACCTATTTCTTGGCCAAAAATAAACTCAGATGGGAGTCTAAGGGCCCCTCGGCAATGCCCTTTCTCAGGCTGTCATTGTACTTTCTGATCCCTCAGTTTCACTGTAAGCCCCAAGCTTTATAGCTGTGCTTCTCTCAGCCCACCCCACCCTGCCCTGCCCCGTGCCCCCTAAGTGGTTTGTTCACCTGAATCCCCCAAATTCCATGCCAGTGTCTCCAGGGCTCTTTGACCTCTTGCTGTAAGCATTTAGCACTTAAAATTCATTTATTTCAGTCTTCACATTTCTAACTGTAGAACAAGAATCATAAATGACCAAGATGGGCCCCTCCCTCTTCCACCTCCCTCTTATTTTATACTCGAGAGAGAAAAGCCCTTGGCCGGATCTCTTAGCTGTTGAAGACGTAAGGCTTCCTGTCACCCAGTCCAGAGCCATCCTCCCCACGGAGAGGCTCTTCTGTGTGATGTAGTTATTCAACTGGGGAGTTACTAATACCCTCACCGAAAAATGTAATAGAGGCAGATAAGTGCTGATGGGAACAGAAGGTGTCACCCTCAGCTTTGGAACTGCATTAGCCATTTCCACGTTCTCTTAAAGACTCGGTGACTTCGGTATCTGAGCAGGACGTGGTGCCCAGACTGCGTGGGCTCAGTCCTGCATGCGGGGGACTCAATCTAAGAGATACAACCAGGCTAGAATACAATCCTCAGTCCACATCCAGGCAGTTAAACTCTTTACATGATCGAGGGGAAGAATGAACACAAGGCTGGAGCTCATCTGAGCTCGGGTGGGACCAGGGTCGGCTGAAAAGTCTCAGGAAGGTTTGAGGGAAAGAACCGAGCTTCCAGCTGCAAGCACTGGAACATCAGAGTATACAGTGAGGGAGGGCAGCCCTGAGGGGAGACGGAAGTTCCAGACAATCTCTGGTCAAGGATGGAGTGAGTTTCAAGTCAGCCCTGGGGAGGCAGCCGGCTTCCTGCTGCCTGGTACCCAAGAGTGGAATCACAGTCAGTAAGCCTGAGTTTTCTTCTACCCAGGTGCTGCCCCATACCTGAAGACTAAGTTCATCTGTGTGACACCGTAAGTGGCTTCCCTTCCCAATTTTGCCTCCATTTCTAATGTCCTCAGTTATCCCTGGGAACAGGACACTGGGTGAGAGTTCTCTTGTGAAGGGTTGGAACCCTCCGAGCTATGTTCAGTACTCAAAGTGACCTCGTGTGTTTAAAAAGCTTGAGCTTTTATTTTTCTGTTGGAGACCAGAGTTTGATGGCCTGTGTGTGTGTGTTTTGTTCTTTTTTTTTTTCCTCCATTGTGTCTTGTCAACCCGGCCCTTTCCCCTCCTGCTGCTCCCCATTTCCTACAGAACGACCTGCAGCAATACCATTGACCTGCCGATGTCCCCCCGCACTTTAGATTCATTGATGCAGTTTGGAAATAGTGGTGAAGGTGCTGAACCCTCAGCAGGAGGGCAATTTGGTGAGTATGTGGTTGCCGGACTCTGTCCCTGTGAGGGAAGTCAGTCCCCTTGGTGTGATGCTCCCATGTGCACGGCCAAGCGAGGGGCACCTGGATTGGTAGAAGGGGTTCTCGAACAGCGCTGTCCTGTAGAAACGTGCACCCCCATACCAGAGTAAAGTTTCTAGCAGCCATGTTAAAAACAGTGAAAAGGAACAGGTGAGGTTAATTTTACAAATGTATTTTCTTTAGCCCAGTAAATCCAAAATAGTGGCATTTCTGCACGTTAGAAAAAAATGAGTGTGGGATTTCCCTGGCGGTCCAGTGGTTAGGACTCCATGCTTGCACTGCATGGGGCATGGGGTCAATCCCTGGTCTGGGAACTAAGATCCCTGCAACATGCACGTGCGGTGCAGCTAAAAAAAAAAAAGAAAAAAATGAATGAAGTTTTCTTTCGTACTAAGTCTTTGAAACCTGCCGCGCGTTTTATAACCACAGCCTACCTCGGTTGGGACTAGTCACATCCCAAGTGGCTCCAGCCTGCTGCGTTCAACAGGGCAGCCTTAGAGCTTCTTTAAACCTGGAGAGTTGGGAATGAGTTAAGGTAGGAAGAAGGCTGAGCCCTTCCAGGAGGGAGGGGAGAGAATCTGGATTCTCTGACCCCATCTTGACGACCGAGGGGCAGGGGCAGGAGACTAGATGGCAGTGGCAGCCTGAGCCTCTGTGCCCCAAAAGGCTAGGGGTGCGGGCCCCGCCAGCTGTGGGGCTCAGGCGACTGAACGGGCTCTCCCTGTGTGTCCCCCCAGAATCCCTCACGTTCGACATGGAGCTGACCTCGGAGTGCGCCACCTCCCCCATGTGAGAAGCCGAGGACGGAAGCTGCAGAGAGAGGGGACAGAGGCACCGACCCATGTTCCACCAGCCCTTAAGCAGCCCAAGCCCAGATCAGCTCAACTCCCAACTCTGTGGTTCCAGATTTTTTTGTCGTCTCTCATTTCGGTTATCTTTGAGTAATCTGGGCACTTTTTAAAATAGAGAAATGAGTGAATGTGGGTGATATGCTTTTATCTAAATGCAAATAAGAATGCACTCCCTGAGGCTGTGATCAGGGGGTGTGGAAGGGGTGGCGAGAGGGAGAAAGAGGAAATGTCTTTTTTTGCCCCCCTGCCCGCCTTTCTCAGCAGCTTGTTGTTGTCATTGTCAGACAAGTGCCTCTGGTGCCAGCGGCATCCCTCTGCCTACTTCTGTAAGCTGATGCCACAGTTGTCTCTAGCTACATCCTCCTGGCATTGCACTTTTAACCTTGCTAACGTTCAAATAGAAGATAGGACTTTCAAAGCCCCTAGGTTTCTTTTTAAACTTAAAAAAAAAAATTTTTTTTTAAAGGGCAAAAAAACACTGTCTCATATAGCCTTTTCTGTATTTAAGAAAACTCAGTTATTTCCTCCTTGGTGCTTTAGGCATTCAGCTTTCTTCAGGCTGATAATTTATATAAACCCTGACATGAGCTTCAGATCCAGCCCTTAACAGACATCTGAAGATGTGGCTTGGCCTTTGGTTTTCATATAGGAAGGTTGAAGGAGACCCTAAACATTTTAGACTTTTTTTGGTAAAGTTTTTATTTTCCCCTTTCACCTACTGGCCTGTTAGTAGGTGAGGCTGGGCAGAGGGGCACTTTCAGCCTGCTCGCCTTTCCTCCCCGGACTTCGCCCCTGTTTCCGAGCCTGCGTGGTTTCTGTGGGTGCCTTCTAAGGGATGGGATGATTCTTCCTCTCCCCCAGTTTACCTGAGCCCCTCTTGTGGCATGGCTCCTTCCCATGTCTAAAGGTCCCTTGTCCTGTTTGCTTTAGGCATCTTGGTCTCAGGACCTCCTGGTATAAGAGGGAGCGAGCTACAGGTCGAACATGAGTCAGACTATGGGGCCCCAGTCAAGGGTCTAGTTGAGCTCAGGGATTATGGTTCTTATCCCGGCTTCTTGGTGATTTCCTACGGCACCTGTAATCACTTCTTCACTTGGTTAAGCCAGGGGCAGAGGCTTAGTGATAAGCTCGAGGTCTGTCCCTCACGTGAGGGAGTGTACACCCCAGCCTTCCCCCAGTGCTGGTGACGGTCTCCTCCACGTGGGGGCCCCCCTTGGTGAGGCAGAACAACTCGCATTTTCTGTGCATCTCAGAACACTTAGCAGCATGAGAGGTGGTCTCTGATATGGGGCCTCCTCAGACCCAGAGGCACGGCCAGATTGGGTGGTCCATAACTACCTTGTCTCAGTCGACCAGAGTTTCTAGGGAATGCTATGCGTTACACCCAAATTCACCAGTTTTTGAAGGAAGGGGACGAGACCTTCTCTCCAAGACAAACAGGGGTTTGATAGGTGGTACGGAGCAATCTCCCTTTAGCAACACTCTCTAGATCATAATTAGCTTAACTCGAGGGACCTCAGGTGAGGATCCCGGCTTCGCTGGAGCAGAAACTAAAACCCTGTGGCTTTTAGGTCGCATGTGTTTCTGGTTTTAACCCTGATTATAGCAAAAGCCCTGAGAGGAGCTGAGACTTGTTTTGGCCCCTCTGTTAAAAAACCCAGTCCTCCAGGACCTGCCTGCCTGACCCCCGCCCAGCCGAGGGATTCCCATGGATGCCTAAGCTACCCACACGGTGGTTTGTGAGATTCTGTCCTGACCACTGCATTCAAATTTCAATGTATACTTACTTAATAGTGTAAAAATTTATATTATTGTGGGTTTTTTCCTTTCTTTCTTTTTCTTTTTTTTTTTTTGTATATTGCTGTATCTACTTTACCTTCCAGAAATAAAAGTTATATAGTAACCGTCTGCTGGCACGGCGGCTCTGTCTGGCTGGAGGCTCGGGGTGGCCCCTCTTCCCCTGCTTCAGCTCTGAAGGGGTCTTACAGGCTGAGCCTGGGTCTTGAGAGGAGGTGGGTGACCCTGGCCCCGGGCTGGTGGCCTTAGCCCCTCATGCCCGAGTAGACACAGGCCCGCCTCTGGGGCACCGAGCGCCTCCCATCTTAACGTTAGCCGCCAGCCTCCAGCTCAGGGGTACCTGGAGGAGCCAGGGGTCCGACCCCTCCCGCACGGAGGCAGCGTGAGTGGAGGCCTTCCTGCCTCCCTCCGTCCTCCCTCGCGGGGCCTTTGCAAGCCGCGGTGCCCTGTCTGGGGTCAGATAAGCTACCCAAGGGGGGTTGGGGCGCAGACACTCCCACCACCCCAGGCCTCCCCTTCCACAGTTGGCTCCATTATCACTTTCTCTTCAGTTCGCTCCGTGGGTCAACACTTAACGGGCCGTGGCTGCGGGCCCCGGGCCGTGGGTGGTGATAATTCACAGACCGCAGCGCGCACTCGCCTGGCTCCCCTCCCCCCGCGCCGAGCACCATGGAGACGAGCGGGTGCGGGAGATACGCGCCGCCTCTCCCTGCAGAGATGCAGCTCCAGATTAGCGCGCTCCCGGCTCGGCGGCTGCCTCCCCCCCCCCCCCCCCCCCCCCCCCCCCCC